CTCATATTTCAGTATGTTCAAGACCAGACTGTTTAGCTTATAATATATGGATGGATTACTCTCCTTTCCCTACTCAATTACAGTTCTACAGTCCAGGAAACTTTAATCAAAAAATTACTTTAAATCTCAAGTGCCCTGCAACTCTGCATCTCTCCCCACCTATAATAATTTACATTATGTTCCACTGATTGCTTGTAATGATCAAGGCAAAAACTTTCCCTTCCTTTTCACCTATTTCAGTAGCTATCTGTACTGCCTTGTGTAGGAAATAATCCTCCTGATTGCAGCCTTCATTTTTATTTTTAAGAAGATGGTCACAGACTTCAGTCACACACCTGAATTTCCTTTCAGCCAAGGAATTATAGCTGGGACTGCCTGTAGAATGCAGTAATTATATCATGGATGATATAATCATATCACCCTCACTCATTGTAAGGGTGAGTGAATGGTGTGAAGGCCAAGCCATTAAGATCAACTCTCCTCTCAGCAGAACAAGAAGAATGGTTTCAAAACCCAGGTAAGGCTGCTTTGTGTCTTCTAAGCAGTGCCCAAGAGGGGCTCCTCAAGGATGAATGGCTATCTGAACCAAGTCAGACACGAGAGCTACTGTTAGGAGCTCAGTCTTAAGACTCACTGATTTCCTTGCCAAACATTCTCTATTCTTTTTATCACAAACATGGTCTTGATTCTAAGGTTGAAGTTTCTCATGCATCTAATGAAGATATAAGAGAGAAACCCCCTAAGACAAGAGTCTCAGCTGTCACTCCAGTCAGTGCAGTGCAGTGCTGTGCTGACTGAAACCACAGTTCAATCTCAGTTCTGAGAAGCAGAAAAAAAGGATTTATTTTGCAGGCAGATAAAAAAAGTGGAATGTCAGGCTTAGATCATAAAACTGGTTGCTTCTTTCTTTGTGCATTTTAGGTTTTGTGCATAACTGGAACCTTTGGCACCTACAAGTAAGAAGGGCAGCACAGTACAGAAAGGAGTCTGTCTTTACTCCTTCAAAACTGAACTTGTCAGAGCAGAGATAAAATAGGTGAGAAAGGTTGTCTGTGTAGCAACATAACAGCCAGACTGAGAAACATTCAAGTAAAAATTAAGGAAAGGATAAGAAACAGAATGCAATTTAAATACCAGAGAATTAATCCAGGAGTAAGAGGATCCAGAGGAATGGCCACACCCCCACTGCTTTATGGTCCTGCCCGGGGTGAATTGTTTCCCTCTCTTATCACTACATTTCCACCAGCAAAGTAGCAAAACTCCTGATAAGCTCTCCATCAGTGTGCTTTGTTTTCTCTCATGAAATGACTTCAGTAAGACCTAGGCATTAGATATCAAATTTAACTGAGTTAATTGACTCAAACTGACTTAGAGTAAGCTGGGAATACCTGAGTATTTATCGCCTTTGCTACCTCGGCAGAGAGAGGAGGTAACTGTGTCTTCTTACCATAACTTCTTCTCTTCTGCTTCAGGGCTCTTGTAATTTGTGTAACTTTAAGTCCTACCTACAAGAAACTACGCTCAAAATTGCACTGCTGGAAGATCAAACTAAGTTTGCAGACATCAGACCCTATTCTATACACACAAAAATAAGTATAAAACATATCTACAAATTCTACTGTAAACCAGTGTTAACCAGCTTCATGATTATGAAAGTAGAAAACCCCATTTTTCTTTAAATTCGCTTCTTCAGTTTATTATTAAAGATATCAAAATGAAATCTCTTACAATTATTACTAATTATTATGAGGTAAATCAAGACAAGGTCAAAAGCTTGGCTTGAATGTAGCCAATGGAGAAAAAAACAGACTGGTAGTGTTGAAACATTAATTTTCATTCCTGATGAAGCAAATAAGAGTCTTAAGCCAGAGGATCATATTTGTCTGTTACTCTTTCAGGGTTATCTACCTACTTAAGCTTTGCAGACAGACATCTGTGGATTTTCAGATGATATGAAATAAACTGAATATTTAAAAGATGCCCAAACCTGGTTTACTGCTTCTTCCTCCTATTAAATATAATTCCTATTTACTTTTCAAGAGGGATTCCAGCTCATGGGTTCATGTGTTCAATGCTACTAAAGAATCAAAAGCAGCTGTTGTTTTCTACAACAAGCACTGTAAGTACTTTGGAAACTATAAAGGACTTATTTTTAGATGAGTGATATGCTAATACCCCAGCAGTGTCAGACTGCAGTAATGCAAGGAACCCAGCTACCCACAGTGGCAGCAATTGTGAGGTATCTTGTCCTTACAGATTTCACTGCACCCCATCAGGTCCTTTTGACCAGCAGCACCATCACAAGTTGCTTCTGTTGTTGCAATTGCCCAATCTATTGGGTTTAAGTATCTGTAAGCACAAAATTAGAGTAGAAAACTACTCTGTCACAATAAATTAAAAAGCAAAAGGGATGAAGGCAGAACTTCAAGCAAGCAGCAGAGCTGTCAGTCATGAATTTGATGGTATTGACAAGAATGCAGCAGAAAACAGGCTGCTAATGTGACATGCTGCAACTCCTAACTCTCTGCACAATTAGCAAAACACCAGGCTACCCCCATCACAATAGAGTTGGATATTCTATTACATCCTTCCACCAACAGCAAAGCTACATTTTGGTTTTGTCTCCATTCATTTATGCAAGATTATATTAGGGGATGTTAACCCAGCATGTCCCCAACAGCTTGCGATCCCTCTCCATACTGTGATCAGCCTTTGTTCTTGTGTACAGGAGAAAGGAACGAATGGCAGCTAATCTGTATTCATTACGCCCCTGGGTCTTGCAGGAGTAGTTAATACATTTTCATGGCCCATGCTGACACGGAAGGACAGTTAGCTAATGCTGGTTTGTGGAACAGCTGCTATGCAAAACTAAAGACACAGCCCGAAAAACTGTTTGGTCTCAATCCTTATTTAATTGAAGGAGAAACTTGCACATTTAGATGCGCAGTATGGCTTACTTGTGTTTTCCAAGCTACCATGAAGTGTTAAATGCCAATTTGAGTCTTCTGCTCTGCCAATAATTGATAAAGATGCTTCCCCAATAGCTGTCAAATAATCCTACGATCATCTACATTCTCCACTTGGTTGGCTTGACAGATGAAAGCAGGGGCTTATTATTAAAACATTTTCAGCTTTCAGTTTGTTATGCCATTATGTTATTGGCCAGGACTTAGGGAACAAACTCTGAAAATGACAATGTGCCCATTTTTTAAACCCTTGATAATAATTTAGTAAAACTTCAAAGCACCTAACAGTTGAATGTTTCCAGCGTGGGAGTACAGGACAGAGGCTGGCATCCAACTAAGTGAAAGACAAGACAGTCACATCTTCAAAGATGGACTCTAATGTATTCTGACCTGCATTAGGTAAGTTTGTAAAGCTAGGAGGAGGGAAGGATCACAAAACCACAATGACCTTTTAAATACCCCACAAGTAGGGAAAAGCCTGTGCAGCACTAAAAGAGGCAATAGTTGTGGACTCTGAACTCACAGAGCCCTCCTCTTGCACACATGCATGCTGTAGTGATTATTTCCAGGTTGGACACAGGGTCATGGCAAATGCTTTACTCTAAACATCCAGCCAGATGTTTTCACAACACCTAGTCGGCTTCATCTGGACCATGTGTGCATGAAACACTTAGTGAAAAAGCAGTGACTGCAACACAGAACAGAAGAGCTGAGAAACACAACCACCTCTTTAGCCAAGCTGCAAACTCAAAAATTTCCACCATCAAAAGCATTTCTATGAACAGAACTGACAAGGTTATCACAACAACGTATAAGAGACAATTTAGTCAGAAGGCTCTTCAGTAAAATCCGGTGAAAGGAACTGAAGAGCCACCCACGCCAAACAGAAAGGAGAGCCGTGATGTCTAGCTACATCTACTGCTTCCCCATGACAACTCTCCCTGTTGCTGTGGTAGGGGAAGAGTACTGCCAGCTCTGGGGAAGCTGACTCAAAGGAGCATCTCTTCTCCTCCCTCAGACATGAAGCCTCAGGGCCACCTTCCAAAACTGGCAAAGCAAAGGTTCTCCCCCTGTACTGTGCAATGTGACAATGAAAGGCACTTTTAGGTGCTCCTCACTTCTCTCCACCATGTGCCCTGAAGTTAAACAGGCACGGTGCAGCTGAGAAACTGATCCTAAACACTTAGGAGCATCTAGCACAAGTGATCCCTGCATGGTTGCTCCTCTAGCACCAGCTTAAACACCTTAACATTAATATTTTTTAAACACCACCTGAAATAAGCTTCAAGTAAACGTCTTCATATTTCTGTTCTAAGGTAACTTTTCCAGCTGCTTTGAGCTATCACTCAACTTTAGGAATCTTGAGTGTAAAAAATGAAAACAGTGATGATCAGAATTCTTCAAATATCATTAGCACTGTTGACACACGAAATTTCACAGGGATACATTTGGGAAGCCGGAAGAGTCTAACAAAGTTTATGGCTCTAATGGGGAACTGCTGGCAAGGGTAGAAAGTCTGACAAAGAGAACTGGGCTAAACATAATGCATTAATGAACTAAATGAGCATTATTTTAATTAAAAAATTCCTTGAGGAAGGCATTAGAAAAAACATTCTGTCATTTTGCAAATGCACTTTTGGAGTGCATTGTCCAGATCCAATCCAATAAAGAAACAAGCATTTGGATAGAATTTTATATACCCATATAAACTTGGGTAATACAGTGCTGGTATCTGAGTTTTGATCAACCAGTATGCTTTTGATTATTTTGCAAAATCAAGCCATTTCAGCTGTTTTCAGTTTCTTCAAGGAACACTACCCATCAAAGGAATACAGTTATTTAACATAATTCAAAATTATCTGAAAATAAAATGCTTCTTTAGAGCTATTTCTAGTGCTTTTTATCACAAATAATATTTCCTCTGAAATGCAGAGCGAGAAGATGCATGTGAACCACGGAATTTAATTTCTTATATTTTATATACTACAAATGTTTTATACTAAAATGTACTACCCAAACAAACTGTTTTGTACCCAAATTCATCAACAGTCACTATAGACCAGTGGATAATCTTTGTAATTCTCAGACAAACTTACTTCAAGATATTTAACTGCTAACAATTAAATCTAACAGGAAGAAAACCCAGTGAAGAACATCCACAGGAAAGCTTTTGCTTCCAGCCACACAAACCCAATTAATTCAAAGCTGGAAGAAATGTTCTTGCAGGTTATTCATTCTCCATTTATGAAGAGGTGAACCAACCCAAATGCTTTGATCAAGACAAGTTAATGCAATAAACGATGTACTCCCCACAACAGTCACGATACCTCTGCTCTTGGGCTCCGCAGCCTAAATCTCAAAGGATTAAGCCACTCTGCCCTTGAGTTTTACATAAAGCCAAAGAATTAAAAAAAAAAAAAAAGAGTCTAAGCAGTTTGGAGGTGAAGAAAAAGATGCTTCATTCCTTTCCAGCACAGATGTTGGCTGGTGTCTTATGTGAAGGCCAGTAGTTCATATTACTCAGTTGGTTCAATAAGCAAAGGTGTTGATCTGCATTGAAGATGCCACTGCCAGCTGCTCTTTCTGTTTCTGTGAAATTTGGGATGGTTCTGGAGAAATGGCAAGGTGAAAGACCTGATCTCTTCTGAACAGGAAGAATCACTGCAGAACCTAAGTCCTCAAATGTATAATCAAATGCCTTTGATATAAAAATGGCAACCAAAAAAAAAGAGCAGGTATGACAGAGGAACAAAGAAGTTACTGTAAGATCAGTTAAACAAATTACTTTAAACCAGAAGAGCTGAGGAAGAAATACAGATAATGAATACTTTTTCCAAAACTTTTTAATTTTAATTTCATTTTGTGTTACTGCTTACCTGTAACATGCTAGCATTGGTATCATGCTTTTTATTCAGATGCCTCAAATAACAATTGAGACTAGTCTTCTGATATATGGAATTACATTAATAGAAGAAAACTAGCTTCAAAGGGATCACTGACAATAGACCAAGAAGAACCCAAATCTGAACACACTATTTAGTTTCAAATGCATTTCTTCAGCTACACAGAAAAATGGATTTTCAAGGCACTTAAATCTTAATGTGATTACGCCCTTACTATGTATGAGCACAGAAGTAAAAACCCAGGAGGATAAAAGCACAGCTGGCCATGACATTATTTTGGAACAGTCTTTTAGAAGGATTGAATTTGAAATGATACACAGGCAGTGAGCTCTGGGACTTTGTAACTCTCTGAAGGCATTATCAGTTAGACTCTAAACTTCAGCAGAGATGAAAGGTCCCAAATCTGCAAGCTTCTGAATTTAGCACCCCACAGGGTAGCCTGGAAAGAAAGCACACATTCCCAGTCTGTGTGGCAGATTGATTTAAAGCATCTGATAAAACCTGAGGTGAGACTCAAGAACAGTAACCCCTTTCCACTTTGAGAATGTGCTTCGGAAGTCAGACTTTGTAGTTCCTGTTTCTTAAAAAACCCAAACAATCAGAAGCGAAAACCCCAGTGAGGATGAAATCACTCTTGGTGAAAAAGAAGTTTTACACTTCCAAGTTTTTGGTGATTCTTGGTGGCTCCAGAACTAAGGAAGCTATACTGGGCAAGGACAGCTGTTGATGCAGAGAGACAATCTCATGGGGGGGAGAATTCAACTTTCTGTATTTCCATACAGATGTCTAAAGATCTTCTATAGACATGCCTGTATTTGTTTCTTACTTATGATGGTTACTTACAGGCTATTACTGACAACTTTCCTCCAATGATTTACCTGTTTTCAGAAGATACCTTAATGTCCCCTTCAGAATCTGGCCCATGCACTGGCATTTTATCAGTTGCTGCTGGCTTGACCAGTTGCCCAAGAAAGGGTTTGAGAAATTAAGATTATTCTATAAAAATTCTGAATAGTTTGTTATTTCAGGATTGAAAAAAACCTACATACACTTATGAAAGGTTATAAAAGCTCTTCTGTGAAATACGTAGTCAGCAACTGTTCTCAATTATCAATGGATTTCTAAAGGAATTAAATTAGTGCTTTCACTTGTAAAGGCAGCAGTCCTAAAGTAATTCAAGGAAAATGTTCATCCTAGAAGACTCATTAGAACAACCTCCAAAGACTGCAAGCAATTGAGAAGAGAGACTTTTCTTTAAGCTTAGTTTCCTAAGGAACTAAGGCTATATAGCGCACTTAAAATCCCAAGGGGAAGATGCGGCTTCAGACTCCATAACACCATGAACATTATAAATCCACCTCCACAGAAACAAACCTGAATTAAAAATTTTATCACCAAGAGAAGCCTTTAATAAATTAAAATAGCAAAAGCCAACCAATGATGTATTTTCTCAAGTAAAAAGAGGGCAAAAAAGGAAAAGAGATTCATCAGCTGTCACAACAGCATGGAAGTGACACAAGCAGAAGTTTGCCCAAACAACCTCTCTTTCCCAACAGCTTCTGGCTTTGTATATTGCCGGTGTTGGCACTGTGTGATTTATCGGAGGGTGCAGTTCATGAAAATACAGCATTATCCCAGGTGAAATGAGGCTGGCAATGCTGCTCTCAGTGTCTTTTGGAGGAATTTTGCTCATGTGCTAGCATTACTCTGGTAAGGAATCAGAATGACATGATTTGAGCAGGACTAGAAACCACAACTATAATGATGATCTATTAAAAACTAGAGACCATAAAAATAACAGCCATAAGCACATAATGAATTGTCTAGAATAATGTTTAACTGCAGTATGTCATACATAAATTCCAACTCTCCTGAATTTTCCCCTTAAAATTCTTACAAATGTATGATCCCCCCTTCCTCAGAATAAAACCACAATGTCTACAAACATCATAACAGTGTATAAAGCTACATGAAGTCAATGGACTAGAAATATCATCAGTGACAACCAGAGATGCTAAAATTCAGCTAGAGTTAAAACCCATGCTGCTTCCTAAAACCTGGACCAGAACCAAACCGACACACAAACCTATGGAAAATAATTCATCATTAAGGTATCAAAATAACAGCTACAAGCTTTACTACTGATCTAGCCATGGAAAAGCTAGGGAAACAATTATAAGTCCCTTCGCTGATGGCAGCAGACAATAGCTAGCGGACAAAAGGCAAAACCAAGACTCCGTTTTACACAGGGCTGTGATGCTGCACGTTCTTTAAAACCAAACAGACAATTGGGAAATATAACAATGCAGGCATAAATCAGGAGTATGGGCACCTGGAGTGCCTGTTGGAAGCAACATGCTGGATCCTTGGTAAACACACAGTTATTCCGATGAGATTTCTCAGTTTTGGCACTTCAGAGCCACGAAAGAAGACATGCCATATTTTCACAAGGGGAAAAACATTCCTCTCAGCATGCCATCAATCCTCCTCTTTTACAGTGACACAAAGGAAGTGTTTCCATGCACTGAATACTGACAGACAAGTTTCCCTGAGAAGATGAAAAGTCTGTGCAAGAGAATACACACCAGGTGAATACTGAGGTAGTCTCTTTGCCTAGCACTTGTGAAAATGGATGTCGATGACTCTGCCCAAATCTGTTGTACAAATGGTCAGCAACAAAAAGATACTGATACCTTGCAACGTGAAAGAGCTGTATAGCTACAAACTCTGCCTTAACAACATGTATTTTAAAGCTGCCTTAACATATGTATTAAAAAATAATTCATGTAGAAGGGAGTTGATTGTCACTGGCTGAAGGAAGCTGAAAGGGAAGAAGTTCACTAACTGACAGAAGCAGGCCCCAAGGGTTGGAAGCTGAAGCTGCACTAACTTAGATCTCAGATAAGAAACGAGAAACAGTTTTTTTAAAGCAATTAACTGAACAACTTGAGCTCTTAATTGTGTCTTACTTTAACATCTTAGAACAGGGCTGCTTTCCCAAAAGCTACAACTATGTGCTCAGGGATAAACCATAGATTTAATGCAAAAACAAAGAAGTGCGTTATGCAGGAAAAGATCATAAATGTCCCTTCTAGCCTGATCCGTAACACATTCATAGCACATACGTTTTTCAAGAGCCAGTGAGGGGGATTTGATACCTGTGTGACTTCTCCCAGCATGTGCAAGGCAGCAGTCATTTCTGATGACTTAACACCAACCTGTGGGACTGCACAAACTCCTGCTTTGCATTTTCAATAATCAGAGGCAGACTTCAGATGAGCTGTTTAACCTCTCAGGCTGCCACATTTAAGCCTGGAATGTCAGCAAAGGGATCCCAGGATTTCAAATCTGAACTAACATCAGTGAAATCCTGAGTCATCTTCTCCAGACCCATAGAAGACAGCTCAAGGTACATCTATTTCAGCTGTTACAAGCCATACACTCCCATGCTGTCAAATGACCAAAGGTGTTCTCTTACAGTATCTGTCAGTTTGTGTACAAAACTATTTATATATAGACACATTTACACATCTGTTTGTATAAAGGTTGTGCATACAGGCATATATATTACATATACACTATTTGTATTATGCATGTAAAAATGTCTCAGGGAAAAATCAGCATTCCCATATTCACTGTATTTCAAGTATTTTCCTAAGACAGGACCAAAGCAGTTTGGCTTCACGACAATATGCCTATACACTACAGGATATCTATGCCCGAGAGAGACAAAAACAAACTGCAACTGTGCCCTTTGAAGGCGACTGTAAAAGCAGCCAGTTCTCTCCCTTGCATCATTTATTCTCTCCAGACAGACATCATTAGTTTTGTCTTGATGTCGCTGTAAGATAGGCTATGGAAATCCAGCACTACCTGGTCTGTCACTATCCACTGAATACCTAAATTCAGATATAGTCTAAAAACAGATAACATAGCTGAATATGAATTTTACAGGTGCCTGTGAGATTACTTAAGAGTTTACTAAATAAAAAATGTATGTTCCAAAGCTATTTTTAATCTAGAAGACTGTCAAAAAACCTACTCAATTTCACTTCTTCACTAATCCCAAAGTCCCATGCTATTAGTATAGCAGTAGGTATTTTGAGTGCTCACTTCTCCATTTTTGAGAGAGGTGTGTTTATAAAAAGCAGGTAACATCCTTCCAGCAGATTTCCACAACTTCCCATTTCTGAATGAGGCTGACACATGCCAGATAGCGAGTTCTCAGCATTTCATCACTCCCTGAGAAGAGAACATCACTGTCTGGCTGCTCTGAGGTCTATCGATTTCCTCAATGCACTGGTAAGGCTTGTCTGTCACATCAACACATTTGACACAGAACTGTACTAGTACATGGGAGCATCTCTCCTTACCAAAATCTTCCCCAGACACTAGACAAAGTGCTTTCCTTCCAGCAGTTAGAAGAAATCAAGTGCCAAATTTGACACTCAGCAATAGGGGTGTAGGTGTGTCACTCCCCAATTCCCCTGGCAGAGTATTAGGGAATAAATCAGTTTAACAATGCCAACAAAGTTATTCAGCCTGATACCTTCACTACACTGGTTTTATTTCTTGGGCTGTATTCCCTTTGTGACTATTTTCAGTGTTTCATGCCTAGTCAGGCCTCCTGACACTCTTTGCCAAAATGATGTAATAAAACCATAAAACCCCTCCTCTTCCAGAGGAAGAGTTTTCCCAACTTGGGCCTATGGTCTCATCCCAGCTCTGCAAAACACAGATAAGTACCAGAATAGCTACAAGAACTCATTAAACAAAGCACAGTTGAAAAGATGAACTTTCAATCCCAATAATTCCTCTTGAAAAAAATGAGACAAATTAGGTGCACTGCCTGACTCACAATGAACTCTTCAAATCAACAGTTACCTGAAAGCTTTCTTCAATCTTTAAGGCTAACTTCAACAAATGTATCAAAAGGGTTTAATTAAACAAAACATCTTGAATATACCAAGTGTAATTTTTATGTGCTTGGGGTATGTATGTATATAACGTGACATGACATAGCTTCAGAGATCCATAGAGGGGAGATGTCAGTACATCTCACAGATGTTTATCAGACCACTAACCATGTTTTGTTTTTCCATAACACACACAGAACAAAGAAGATCAGTGAAAAGAAAATAAAGTTCTCATCTGTTGAAAGAGCCCAGACTTCTCCTAGGTTAATAAAAACATGCAAAAGCTGTGAAGAAAAAAAAATATATTTGAAAGAGACAGAGAAGGATGAGATCCTTTTACAGACCTTAAAAGGTAAAGGCTACTCACTAACTGCACCAAACCAATTCACTATCATTTGCTGTACAGAACACGTACAACTTTGTGGAAAATCTCAGAAACAAGGTGGAAAAGATCATGTTTTGGGGATATGACTACATTATGGTCAACTAGTCCAGCATATGGTGACTAACACTACTGCATTGAATTTACTTTCCCAGAGAAAGCACATTTTGTTTGACTAACTGGTGGCTGATACAGTGAGTCACTCGACTGCCTGAAGTACCAGCTCCTATACTTTAAAAGGACTGACTGGGAACCATGTATGTGTATTGGATTAGGAACAACATGCTTTAAATAAACCACTGACTCACCTTGTCACGCAAGTGATGCTCTGCAGCCTCAATATTCAAAGGATCGTCAAAATTCAGAAGATCCTGGCAAAGGAACAGAGAACATTATAGGGTTCCCACTCGCTGCATCATACAAGGAATCCAAAGCCCTAATGAACAAGATAATGAATGAAAGTAAGACCAGTGAGTAGAGCACCATATTTTCTCACTACCTTGATTGGTAGCGCTATTAAAGGTAAATGCAAATAAGTGATGATTGCAAACCAAAGTTAATGAAAGGACAACAGTAGCAGGGCATTTGACCCCATCTGGTGGCACACAGTCCTGTGACACTTCTTTGGCAGTGATGCACGTCTGCTTGAAAACTGAGACAGTTTTAAACTGAATTTTGAAGGAACATTCAAAGTTTCAGGAGGCAGAATTCCTGTTGACTTTAGTTCAAGGTAAAGTAAACCATTAAAAAAATCCCTGCAAACAGCGTGGTGATAAAGCAGGAAGAGTTTCATAGAATGATGGAACACTTTGAGTTCGAAGGCACCTTAAAGCTCACCCAGTTCCAACCCCCTGCCAAAGTCAGGGACACCTTCCACTAGAGCAGGGTGCTCCAAGCTCCGTCCAACCTGGCCTTGAACACAACCTGTGCCAGTGTCTCATCACCCTCATAAGTGAACACCTTTTTTCTTAATGCCATTTGCATAGCAAAGCAATTTCATCCACACTGAGAAGAAGCTACATAACCTGGAGTCTGACCAACAGGAAAGATTTTACGCCATGGGAAAAACAGGGCCCAGGGGAAATGGACTGCAAACAGCCAAAGAGCTAAGGACATGTCGGGGCAGGGAGCAGAAACAGTCAAGATAAATCTCAGGTCTACCCGTTTAATCTCTGTATTTTTGGAATGAGTATAGGGTTAATAACAGTGGAGACCAAGATGCTGATAGCAATCATAGAATGGTTTGGGTTGGAAGGGACCTTAAAGATCATCTAGTATGTTACAAATAACACCGAATCACAACCCTCTATTCTGCCTGCAGCCCAGATAATTTTCCCCAGTTGAAGGTTAGTGACAACAGTGAAATGCCGTTGTTTCACACATGTGAAAAGTGCGTGCCACTCTCTGACTTATTTTCAAGTAGCAAATTTCCCATTTCACTCAAAGCTGGACACCAATCCACTTCATTTTCACTGGCTTTCTTCAGGAAAAACCCAAAAGAATCTGCAAGGCCAGTACGATGCAGTGCCAGCTTTTCAAAGCCTACTATTTTAGCAGAAGCTGGGTGTGAAGGAAATCCAAGAGGCAAGCTCGGTAGCACAGCTCTCACCTGTCATGAAAAATCCCCATGGCCTGGGATGCGTGACTATCAAACCCTGTAACTATTTGCCCAATGGATTATTCTTACATGCAGTTTTGCCTCCGCAGACATATCACTGTACCTCCAGTGAATTTTGCTTTCTTCCAGCTAATCAGCATGCAGTGAGAGACTAACTGTGAAATGCAATTACTCTTTGTTGAAAACGCAAAAGCTCTCCAAACCTCTAAATGAATTTCCTAAAGAAGTTGCTGAAACAAATCAAGCCTTTGGATTCCACGAAAGCTGAGCAGACTGTAGCCAGCCACTGGCTTGGGCTGTGCTAGAGGCCTTAGAAACGCATCATGATCCTGAGAGCATGCTGGAAGCACAGCCACTTCTCTGCACCCCTCCTCCTGCAGGGAGTAGTTGAAGGAATTCCCTTCTCTGAAACCAGGCTGTGGTTAGTGAAGCCCGCAGTGATGCTCCTCATCCAAAGCTTTTCACAGCTTCCTCTGTATGGCGTGGAGCAGCAACCAAGTTAGTGCTCTTCTTTGCTTCTTCCTGACCTTCCTACCCAACTGCAATGGCTGTGGAAGGTGACCGTAATCCTGAACTCCCTAAAATGCAGCTTCTGTACAGTAAAGACTTAGCAAATTCTGCAAGTGGGTCCTGAGGCCTTTAACAAAGAATATAAGTGTTCAGAATAGGAATGAGACTGCAGGGCAGTCATTAATTCCTAAATATAATTAAAAAAAAACCCATAACACCAACACAGTTCCTTCTCAGAGCAATATGATTTTCTATTTCCTGAAAAGCAGTGGAGGAATTTCAAACCATAGAAGATCCCATGATACCAAAATATCCCATAATAGATTTGTAACCAAAAGTAAAAATGATGTACCAAAAAACCTAGCATTTCAGCTGATCTGTAGGAGTCCTGCAGTTACACAAACAAAAGCACAAACTGATTTCATACTTGCACAACACCCACTGAAGCCAAAGGAAATAACAACCTTCAGTTTCAGAAGGAACAGACAGGGTTCATATTGGGTGATGCTGAAACCAAACCAGACAGGGAAAAGGAAAGTGGATATGAAAAAATAGTCATTTACTTACAGTAAATAACGAGTTTAACCCCCAGACAACATCCTGCAAAGGAAAAGCACAGTCAGTTAGGCATGCATGTCAGGTATTTTGATCACATACACATACTTTATTTTTCTAATAACCCATGAAATTACTGGAAATCAAATGTAGATTAAGGGTAATGCTTTACTAATTTAAGTCAAAATACTGGAAAAGCTTTCACATTTCATGGATGCTCCATATTTAGAAGCGCCCATAAAACATACTCACATAAAAGTTCAGTTCTTTCTGTATGTATTGGAGCCTTATACTTGTTGCTTCTCTGCTCAAGGAGAAGAATAATACCTTAGTATATGGCACCAACTGAAAACAGCAAAGGGTGGGCATAAAACTTAATTCAGCAATCCATTCTTAAAATTCAGAAATTGAGATGGTGTTAGACAAGTATTTGAAACTGTGTCAAAATATCAGAGAAAAGAGATTCAGGCATAGTGTGAGTATGGAGAAATGTTGTTCTTACATAAGCATATGTCTCAAATCATTTTACTGCCTTCAAGCATTTATTTAAACACAGCTGAATAAAGAGGGTTTGCAATTCCCCAAAAAAAGGAAGCTTCAGGGTAATCTGCCTCCAAATTGTGTCAAACACAGCTTATTTAGAGGTTCTACTACCACTGGCCTCATGGTCCACATCCTCCATTTACAACCTTCAAAGGCTAAGAAAATGCACAAGATCCAAATATTACAGAAAGAGATCTAAAAGGATCATTCTGAGGATAAGTTTTTCTACCTGGAGAAAAGATTATTTTCTTTAATAGCAACATAACCAAGCTAATCTACTCCAACATCCCACTGAAGTCTGGGTTTTGTCTGGAGCTCCCACCTACCAGACAAATAAGATCAGCACCTCACCTCCTGCCCGTAAGGTCTGCTGGCACTCGATTGCCTGATCATGAAATTTACACTGACCAATTTCCACTAGTGGGACAAACACTGCATGCAATTGATTCATGGCTAAAATGTACCTTTTACAATGAAAATAAAGACTCAAAGTAAAAACCTTCCTCACCACAGCAAAGGATTTCAATAAACAAGCATATTTCAGCTCATTTCCCATTCAGGGCTCCCTACTTAAGAGTGGTGGACCACAGAAATCCGTATGATTTAAGGCCACTATCCAATTACATCCTAATGAAAAAGACATGATATAGAATCATAGAATGGTTTGGGTTGGAAGGGACCTTAAAGCTCTTCCAGTTCCAACCCCCTGCCATGGGCAGGGACATCTTCCACTAGACCAAGTAGCTCAAAGCCCCATCTGACCTGGCATGGTTGGGATATTTCAAGTAGGAGATGAAAGCAAAAGTTTAAGTTCTGTGCTTGTTCAACTAAAATTACGGTCACAGAAACTGACAGAGGTCAGCAAAACTTGGCATTAAGGAAACCTGTATTAAGCAATTCTGGGGATAAATTATTTGTACAGTAGAGCTGTGCCAGGGAAAAAAAAAAGCCACAATCAGTGATTAAAGGAGAATTTCAGTGGCGTGGAAAGCCTAAAGAGTAGGAACAGGCATGAAGGTCTCAGCTTTCACTTCACTCTCCGGTATTCAGGTTTGTGAGGATGCATAACACAGCACAGGCTGCTATGGAGTCACTGCTCCCAGGGTCTGCTCCGGTTCCCCATGGATACTGCCCCTGGCATGGATGCAGCCTGAGAACTGACTGATGCAGGGTGTGTAACCAGGGATGGCTGAGATTACCTCTGTCTCCAGCCAGCCACTCTGCTCCAGTGGATGCTCTGCCCCTTCCACTGCTGCTTTCAAAGGCTGTATTGTCCTCCAGGGAAGCAGAGGGAATGTCTTGGGGGTGTTAAGAATTTCTTGTGCCTAATTTTAACCCACTGAGTATTTCTCACAACCTTTGATAACGGGGCACTAAAGCATGATAATTTGCTTTCTTCCACTTGAATAAACTCTTCAGGAATCAATTAACTTTTTAAGGATCACCTTTCATTTACACCACATGACAGCACACTCTAACTGGAGAGTATGATACAGAATTACAATACTGAGCATTAAAAAACATCCTGAAGAGATACAAGGAGCTCACGCTTGCACGCTAGGGTCTGTCCATTTGTAAGTCCTGCCTGAATACCAAAACAGGGCTGCAAACTGTTCACAACTCTTCAACCACTTATCAGCAGAGCTAAAAAGAAACAAACAGAAAAGCAACCCAGCCACACTGATTCTGAAGCCCTGAAGAGCTCAGCTTTTCTTTACACTGAACAGTCCTGAAGCTCCAGTCTTCCAGAGTCACAATAGTTGGGGATTGTCAATCCAGACAAAACAGCTTCTGCTCCAATACAGGCAGTGCTGAGCCATACACAAGTGTTACAACACAAACTAAAAATGTAGGTTATTTTCCCATTCCTTAAATACCCGCTTTTGAAGTTTACCTAAATCCTTTCAAAACTGGTATTTGCTGAACCCTGGTTTTACAACTTTGGGACACTTGATTCACTGAGGCTGGCTTTGGGTGTACCACGACATCCCCAAAAACCACCCAAAACCAACACCACAAAAAAACTCCAACGGAAACCTCTGTAAAGCTGTGAGTTTTCAGCGCTGTACATTTCCAGTCATTCAAGACACTAAAAAGCATAAAAGAACTATCATTATTGAATAACGTATGCGTGAGATTCTTAAT